ACCGTTTCTAAATAAAAACAATCGCATGTAAATAATTTTATTTTATAGTTACAATATAAAGGTATGTAGCTACTTTGGAAAAAAGAATAAAATGAATCAAAAACAAAAATGTCAACAAACAAGTCTAAGAAAGTATTTTTCAGCAAATCATTCAAAAATCATGATATTTGCAGAGTCGCAACGTCCAGAATATATGTTAATAAAATCGGTGACAAGACCTACCTATCTTCATTCGTTGCAACCTATAGTGCATTGACGATCTCTAAAGAGCCTGGGTTGTATGCAATTGGTGAAGACGGACGAAGCCAGACGTGCACTACTGGTTTCACTGATATTAGGACCAAGAGTGGGCTTTGCAAACAAAATTGTAGCTGCTAAGGTGCATCCGTAATACGTATTTAAAGCGTAGAGATCACAAAATAACACAGCAAAATCTAATAATCGTATTCCATAATAGCTGATTCAGCTATATTACTCCGAGGTCCCAGTGATTTATTTACAGAATGCCATCAGAAGGCAGAACCTTGTGAGTTATCATATGTCTATTTAAAACATATCGTCTTTTGCACGTGTACCAACAGAGATGACAGGAGTAGTTCTTCTCTTTGCCGCAATCTTGCGCATAATGACTTTTCATTGAGTTTGCGTTCTTGTATACTTTCTTGCAACGAGGACATGTTACACCACCATGATCGGTTTCTGCAAAGAACATAGTTAGAAATGGGACAAATTACGGTTTTCACTACTAACCGAAGATATCGTTATTGTTTACTACATTCATCGGAAGAAAATTTAGACTTCTGACTGTAGGTAAATGATGAAAGTGAAAAAACATGTGTGCGTCCATATTTCGTCTAATCCACACTTTGAGAATCAGTTACTTTGTAGCGTCCCTCGAAACTACTTCAATTTCATGCCGCAGGCTCTAAAAAATTCTATACATAGCTTAGTGAAGGTCATTATTGCCCCTGCACATTATATCCAGCGCACCAGGATATAAAAAGTGCTAAGTACTATTTTTGACACTACAAAATAATAGAAAAATGTCTGCAGCTGGCTTCAATCTTGGGACCTCCACCTTATAAAGGAGAGATTCCAATCAGTATACCAGCTTTGATTAATCCAAGGTGCTGAGTACTGTATACAATAATACCGAATAAAACGACTGGAGCATCATGGGATATGCAAATCAGCGTAAATCCTGGATCAGCGCTGTCTTGGGAAAGCGTAAGGCGGGGGATCGAGAAATACTCCCTATGATGCTACAATTGTATAATATCGGTAACAGACTCAATAATGGCATCTCACACAAGCGTCGTGAAAGCGCTTCAATTTAGGTATTAAAAGCATTTGTAAGAGAGAATAAAAAACATAGCTGTGCCATTTGATTTATTATGCTAAATACAACACAGGTACGGAGGGGTATTTTCGATTGAAATGTTCTTCTAAGTTAAACATGGTGGCCTGCTATATTCACAGTATGTAGTCAAGGCGGGACTCGCAAAGTAATGTCGTTAGGGAAAATTTGGATTTCAAACTGACAATTCAATTTTGATATTAAACTAAATCGTGTAATTTCCGGTGTAGGCTCCTAAAAGCTAATCAACTAGGTGCCAGTCTGAATGTTGTCACTTAGCTATTGAAATTTCATAATCTCATTACCCTATGAACCCCGCCTTAAGCCTCTTCTTGACTCTACAATCAAAATACCTATGAGTGGGCCTCCTTGCACCTTCTTGATCAACAAATTGCGCCACACAAATGTCTAGCAGCTTGTTACCAGTAGTACTAAGCAACTCATGTTTCATACCAAGTGTGGTACTGATTTGGAGCTGCTCTTCCAGCAGTGCATGTTGTGGACCCCGATCTATTAGCATTGCCTGCAACACTGCTTGTGCTATTTGCAAATGACGCAAAAAACAAAAATGAAAAAGCTGCAAGAGCAGATCTGGGGAATTTCACGTCGAGGGCCCAAAAGTGATTATTTATCAACATGTTCAGCTTGAATAATAATAAACATTGAAGACATTTAGCATGAGACAGATAAACTTAACTGGCAATAGTATCAGAAACATAAAATTTTTGTGGGTTGTATTGGAACCTCAACTAGCATGGATCTCTCATTCAGACTATTTAGAAATGTTTCCAATTATGATATTGTTATATAGGCATTATATTCGCTAATTGTTGGACACATGACTTACGCTCAGGCTACGGCCATGTGTGACATCCACATACCATAGCATGATAATGTTTGAATTACAAAGAAAAATGATTTGTATTCTTTTCAAAAGAGATTACCAAGGGGATATCAAGGCATTTTTATATTAGCTTTCAATTACAGAGATTTAAAATTTTTTTGAGCTACTTCAGAACAAGGCATATTACTTTGTATATCTAAGTTCGTCAATGTTACTCCGTATACTTCTTGATGTTATCAACTTTCGAATGTTTTTCATGTTGTACCTCTATTTGTACTGTGAACCATTTCATTATCATGAATGGATAAATCTGAATAAAGCGGCAAAGTCTAACGTCAGGTCGTGCTGCTGGATGGGCAACTCTAGTCAGTGGTCTCGTCTATCCTGCCCAGAATTATTGAGTTATGTAATACTCGTATTAGCGGTAGCATACTGCATAGCAGCTCACTGGTTTACTGTTCTAGATAGATGACTTGTTGGGAAGGATGTTTTTGACTGAAATGTCTTTTAACATCAAACTTCCTGGACGTGATGTATTCACAATACGCACATCTGAACCTCTTCTTGACACCGCAGTCAAAATATCTATGAGTGGCTAGTGTTTGGCTGTTTTTGTACGTTTTTCCACACTTTGGACAAACAGCGCCATCACCACCTGAAAGCCATTTGTTTTCTCTGAAGCAATTGTTACCGAAATGTGAGCATGTGGTTTCATCATATTCATAGTGTTTTCTATTTTTGTCTGCGCAGTCACATTTTATACTTATCACCACATTTTCAAATAAGTGGTAAAGAGGAAATACAACTTACACTTATAAAAATGAACGATGATGTTGGTGGAAAAGAAATGCACATTACATACCTTTTTTAAAAACTGGGCCATTACTGGGTGACCTGAGGCGCGTAGCGAGGAAGAATATAAAGTGCGAGTGAAATAATAGCCTCTTGAGACGAGAAATTTATGGACTTTTTGTTACTACTACCACTATATGACCGCAAAATAATCGATTTTACATCATCATGACGTTTCCAACACATTTTACAAATATTTCAAGTACCTACTGTCCAAATGACAAACTGAAATCAATTCATCCAACAGACAGTCGATTTGGTTTGGACAGTACGGGTATTACGTAACTTGAAAAGTGACATTACGTCAGTTTTTTGACATTGTGTCGGTCCATTTAAGGTAAAGTAGAAATGTTTTATTTTTGTTAACATTAAATGTCGTTTTCAAGCTATACCCCCCTGATCAAGAAGTTCTCGAAATGGTCGCCGTGTGGCGCTAGTAGAACTGAGCTGTCAATTCTGTTTGTCTTGTTATGGTGCCCAACTTTCACCGATATTCCCTCCGAATTTTGGCGTCATTTCATTATTAGATGTCAAAGCTACGCCGAGTTGAGTACATATGCCTTTGAGCGTGTTCACGATTTATTGGGGTTTTTAAAATGGATCTGAATGAATAACAACGCGTTTGTATTAAATTTTGTGTTAAAAACAATATCAATGGTACGTAAACCATGGAGATGCTAGGAAAATGCTTCACCAACGATGCTTTGAAGAAAAAGGCGTTTTGGACGGCTCACAGAAGGTCGTCAGTCCATCGCCGACGATGAGCGCAGCGGCAGGCCATCGACATCGAAAACAGAAGAAAACGTAGACATAGTGAAGAAAATGTTGGCCACCAACCGCAAATTAACTATCAGAGCGATGGCAGAGAGATGGCAGAGGACTTGGGCATTGCTTATGGATCCGTTCAAAGCACTTTGGTCAACGATTTGGCTCTGCGTCGTGTTGCAGCTAAGTTGGTGCCATAAGACTTGAATTTTATGCAAAAAAATTACCGCGTAGATATTGCCAAAGACATGATTTCCATTGTTGATTCTGAGCCAACATTTATAAAACGCATCATCACTGGAGACGAGACGTGGTCAAGCCATGAACCGAGACCGAAGAAACCGCGTCGTTTCCAGTCGAAAAAGAAAGTAATGCTCACGGTTTTCATGGATTACTACCGCCTGGTGCATAGTGAATTCTTGAAAGAACGTCAGACTGTCAACAAGGACTACTATTTGGGTGGTTTGAGCTGTTTGCGTAAACCAATCCGTCAAAAACCCAAGCATTTGTGGGCAAACAACTCGTGGATCTTGCACCACGGTAAGGCACCATCGCACAATGCCATCATTATCAGTGAGTTTTTGGCCAAAAACAACACGAATACCATTCAACAACCACCCAATTCACCTGATTTGAACTCCTGTGACTTCTTCTTGTTCAATCGAATCAAAAAGCCACTGAGAGGAGCCCGTTTCTGCAGCCGAGAGGAGATAATGGAAAAATCGAAGATGGCCCTAATAGAGAGTTTAAAAAATGTTTCGGTGACTGGATCAAGCGTTGGCATAAGTGCATTGCAGTCAATGGGGACTACTTTGAAGGGGACAGTATCAATTTTGAACAATAAACTTATATTGTTTATTTTTTTAATAAATTCCAGGAACTTTTTGATCAAGGTGGTATGATGTCGAGTATTGTACGTGAGCTTTACTCAAAATTACATATTTCAAAATATAAAGAGTTAGTTGCCAAACAGACAAAATAAAATTCACATGGTACAATTTCGAATGACAATATTATCTACCTTGGTGTTTTTTTTTTCATTACTTTGGGAGAGAAATGCTACTTCTCTATATATGGCATTGTTGCCAATAATGGTGATTTCTTGGCCACATTATTTTGTATCCTTTTTGCAAAAAACGTACCAAGTTAGCGTTATAAGGCGAGAATCAATGCGAAAGTTCGTTTGCTTTAACAAAAATCTCTAACGCGATGTTTACCAAAATTTTTATTTCCTCGCTTGCTATGTTTATATTTGTAGCACATGTACCTGTATGAAAATAGTTAATAATAGAGACAGAAATGATTACATAAACACAAGAATACATCATAGGATGAGCTTCATTCCTTTTTTATACACAATGTACAAACTTTCCTACAACACTCCAAGCATATAGGTCTTCTGCATAGTAAACAGAGGTATGACGTCTTCCTTTTTCTCTTGGGTGGACACAAGTGGCATGTTTTTCTTCTCTGCCTGCTCAACCTGTCCTCAACTTCTGAAGTGGGCTCTGATTTGACGCTAGTGAACTTTGTCTCAGATTTCGCATCTTTTACTTTTGTTTTCTCCAACTTTTCGCCTGCCGCAGGTTCTGTCATTTCTATAGTTAGATATTCCATGACTTTCATCCCTGAAATGTTGTGTTGATTAAAAATAAATTAGCACAAATATGCATGCCTACACAAGTTTCATATCTTGTCGAACTATGACGTCTGTGTCCTTAAACAGCAACAGTTTGTTTTATTCCTGAAATCTCGGAACACCATGTCTAAGAAGGAAATCGGAACCCAAACACGTCAAATAAGAAATCTAACCAGTTTAAATTCTACGATTTCCCTAATTTGATTTTATGTTAAGTGTCAAGGTCCATAAACGGGTTTCTCGGCCCTGAAATAACTGAAATTTTAAACTGATCGCACTTATAAGATTTTTGCATTTCAATATTATATATATACATATACGAGTGTTTTAAACACTCATCATCATTTTCCTTTTAGTTTTAGAACTTGATTGTTTTTTAAAATCCTAACATTGGCATTCTTGTCCAAAACTCATTTTCGATTATTTACTTTAAGTATTTTTTATCGCAATATATTCTACTTCAAATCCGTAACAAAACACACTAGGTTACGAAACATAGATAAAAATGAAAGTATTGCACCTTTGCGCTCCCACAAAACAGTTGAACTCTCATTATATTCTGTTCCAGTGCACATATAAAATTAGTAAGGTATCTATATGAAAATGGGTGGATTTTGGACAAAAATTCTAAAATTGCTAACTTTCACTTCAATCAATTAACAAAAAAAATAATAAAAATGCTCATGAAGGCTTAATTATAAATATTTAAATGTGAAAGTTTTATTATTGTGATCAACTTAAAATTAGAGTTCTTTGCAGAGCCGAAACCTCTTTATAGCGATGCCTCTATACATCAATAAAACTTGACAAAACCGTTATTATCAAAAAAAAATAGTTGAAAATCAGCACTACCGGTCCTATGATTATTACAAATTTCTTTCTTGGAGTTATTTCTTACAAATTATTAACAAACACCCTGTATGGTAGGTATCTTGAACATTTGGGAACGATCTTCTGTATGGTGTTATTAGACTGTTACAAAATAACTTTATTCATCACTCACAAAAAGGTACAGATTTAAGTATATTTACACTGTTGTCAGCTTATAGATTTTGCAGAAAGTTCATCACCTCGATGTCAGTCTTGACGGGAAAAGGCGCTCTTCTCGGATATTTTATATTGTGCGACTTCAGCAAATGCCTAATGAGGTGCACCTTCTGATATGCATTGTAACTGCATCCTGCGATATGACAACAGAATGTTGGAGGCTTTCCGCAGTCGTACCGGACATGCCTGTTCAGAGCTGTCTTGGACCTGTAATATCTGTGACATGTCGAGCATATAAAGGTACCGGTACCTAAAAAGAATAATGGGTTAGTTTATTGTAACATCTGAAACTTATCCCGTGGTTTACATATCGATAATCCCCCATGCTTGCATGGACAATAAAACCACGTGTACTGACAGAAACTTCTTTACTGTAAACGTTTCAATCACAAAGGTGATATTCTTCAGTACAATGACAATATATTTTATTTATCTGTCTTCCCTGTGACTGTTTTTTTTTTCATTATCGCATTCTTATTGGCCAGACAAGTATGGAGGGCTATTGACATGTAAACCACAGGATAAGTTTCAGATGTCATATCATGACTATGTCCCATATGAATAAAAGTGAGCATATGCTTATACTTGCGAAATTAAAAGTAAAGTATATTTCAAGTCAGGTACAAGATAAACATTTATTGACTAAGTTTGGTATAAACAGTTCTGAATACGGTACGGCAAGTGCATTGTTTTGAATATGAAACGCGAGAAATACTACTTCGACATCTAACGGCAACCATGCCATTTGTCCTGTGAGAAAATGATATGCAACACTTTAGTCGAAGATTGCATAACAATTAACCAGTATGTTACGAGAACAGTTCTGGAGGGTTTTTGCGTCTTTTTTTAAGAGCTTTTCGCCTTTTCTGGACGATGGACGGGGGTGTCGTGTCTGGTACACAAAAAAGACACACAGCTGCATGTTTACTTGTCGTCTTGGAGGGCTGGACGTCCTTTTCTAAAAACAGGAATACCTACTCCAGGCTATGCTAGTTTTGCGTGGTGTGTACTTTCGATTATTGTAGTAACATGCTGTATAGGAATGTGACGAAAACATAAACGAACTGCCACGTAGAAGGTAGAAAATAAAATATATTGTTATTGTACTCTGCTGAAGATCACCTTTGTGATTGAAACATCTACAGTAAAGCAGGTTCTGTCAATAAATGTGGTTTCATTGGCCAGACAAGCCTAGGAAGTTATGGGTTAGTTTAATTACGGCTTGATTGGAATGTTTCTGATTTACTGCTTTGCTGAAAGGGATGGCCTAGAATGTGAAGTTAGCAGTGGCGTAGCAACCACCGTATCAGCCTTATAAATAAGACAGTTCACATTGACTTGTGAAAGAAAAAACACAAAGTATTATTCTTAATCTCACTCTCTCAATTCTTCAGCGCTAAATCTTTGGATAGTATGGCTAGGTGATAATAGCATGCTTCGTATTTTTGACCCACCAGATTACAACTGCAATAGACAGGAAGAGCTCTTCCGAATAAAAAGTGTTCAAATTATCAAAGGACCTTTATGGAACACATATGAATATCTTATAATTTGGTGCTATCTTCAGAGACAGAAAATCTAGAAAGACTAAAACCTTTAGCTATAGATAGTTTAATAAAGAACTTTTCGAAAAAATTGTGTCAATTCGACTTCAACTCCCACGTATTCACATATATATTTTCAATTTTTCAATACGTAAAAAATTGAAACTTCCTGGCACACAGACAATGAACGGGTATCATTATTTTGCATGCATGTAAGTCAGAAATAAGTATTCCGAGTTAAAAATTAAAATTTTCAGGGAATTGTAGAGCATACAAAAAAGACCTTTGGGAATAACCGGGAGCTGATTTATTATTTGCTCATAATACCGCCGCCACGAATTTCAAAAGTGTGTAGCATTAGCGACTTTGAGCCCACAGCATGCTGCTCCCCAAATTTCATCCAAGTCCGTGCAGCAGTTTTCTAGGTTCCGAGTGTAAAATAACGTCAACACACAAGATTGTCCGACATACAGAACGACGGAAATAAGTAATATGAATGTAACTGTTCTATTCGAAATTCAAAAATTATCTTACCCCTCTAATGAGTGGGAAAGTAAAAGTAAAGGAAAAGCGTATATATTTGTTATTTGCCCATCTTGGACAGTCAGTTCTAAAAATCAATACTTGGCCAATACGTAACTATTAAAGTAATTATTTACTATTCAATTCAGCGTTTTTGATTTTTTTTATTATTTTTATTTGCGATTTGGCTCAGTTTGACGCCACCCCTAACAAAATTTGATATTTGGCTCCTCAGGAGTAAGCTACGCCGCTGCTTAAAAGTCTAAAATGTTTGCGCTCCCAGTACCTTCCTTGCTTATGCATAACTATTTGCTATACTTTATCCTGTTATTTCTTCACCAGGTATCTCCGAAATAATTCGACTTTCAAGGACCACCAAAATTTTCTTGAAATAGTCTTGTGAATAATCCTGAATTTCTTACTTACGCTTACGACGCACTAAGAAGGATTGCTATAACAAATCGATTAATATTGATAAGCACATAATGATCAAAGTGGAATTATCTAGTAGTATCTTGAATGTTATACCAATAGCACTTTATTGAAACATTTTAAAATAAATATAAATTATACAAAGAGTATAAAATAAACATAATTGTGAAAAATATTTTGCGCATAAACTGAAAATCTTTTAAAATTATAATGAAACCAACCATTGGTATAAAAGAACCATAACAAAAATAAATATTCTCTTTCAAATGTAACAGCATAAAACATACAACAAATGGCTTCTCCAATCAGAACATCTTAGCTGCGTAAAACATTCTTCTTAAGGTCATTCTATAAAACTAAATGCGTTAACAGTAGGAAATCTATTGTACAACTTACCTTGTGATATCCCAGTAATATTCCTGAATTTGAATTAATATAATCTTTTCTGAATACGAATAAAAACAACATTTCAATATGAAACAAAAATGCGAAATTCTCCAAGAAAGTATACATGCACTAGAAACAAATACGGTCTAGCGCACATACTGTAAGATGCAACATAAAAATCAGTCTATGTTTATTAACATCTCATCATCCTGCAACTTGCGTTTCAGTTTCTTTTGCCTTTTCCTTTTAGATTCAAGTGACCTGCACCAGTTGGGGTCCTGACGAAGGAAATCTTCTGCTCTAACTTTTTTCCTTCTTTTAGGCTCTGCTTTTTTGCATCCAGTGACACTCAAATCCAGTAATTCTTCCTCCTTAGGTTCCTTTCTCACATATTTTCTGCAGGGATACTCACTGTTATGGTGTTTTCTCATGTGTACCTTGAGGTTGCCCTTTTGTTTAGCCTTGTACGGACAAAGCAAACACGGATGTGTAGGCTCTTTGCCTCCACATTCGACCCGCTCATGCCGCCTCATTGTTGACTTCCAACTGTGAACATTCAAAAATGATAAACTCTTAAAGCAACACTCAGAATTTGTGTACCGCAACGGTTAGGATATTAGAGTACCAAAATGGAAGAGAGTAGTGTAGCGCATCGTACGCCACTGCTTATTGTCATCAGGATCTGTTTCGCGCTGCAACAGTGACAGGTGACAGGAGACAGTGACATAAAACAGTGACAGGGGAAAGTAATGCGAGACAGCGACATGCAACTGAGACCAAACTACAAGTACGCATTCTTGAATCAAATCTAAGTAGAAAAGAGGAACACGGATCCTAAAAAGTGCGGTTTTCAAGAAATAGAATGTCAAAGTCTTGAACTAGAAGATAATAATTATGAATTTCTGTGGCATCTCGGGGGCAGTCTCACGAATAATATTGACAAGAAATGTGCATGACTTATTTTAAAAGAAATATGTTTTTTTTTTCGGATTATGCAGCTAATTCAAATAACTCAATGATTTATCATTATATAAAAAATATCGCGCACTGTAAAGTATAGATTTAACATAAGATGAATAAATAAATAAGGTAACAGGAACTGAATTAAAAAAAGTAATGACCTTATGCACTTTTTTGTAATTCTCAAGAGCAGAAAAAGAATGTCTGTGTCGAAATACTCTTTAAACCTGTGATTTTTCTAGGTACAAATGTACATCTTGGGAGTAAAAAGCTGTGAAATCTGGTATTCGCATTATAATTTTAAATTTGCTAATGTATCATAATTATGGTCTAAATATGTAATACGTTTACCTTCACGAATCGCAAGTATAACTTTATAGAAATACAATGTGAATCAAAAAAATCTTTTTCGATGAACAGCTCAATGATACAACTTTTTGTTTCTTGGCATCTCTTGATATCTTACTTAGTTTTCAAGGACAAAATAAAAATGAATTGACTATATGTCGAAAAATTATTAAAATATGAGACCAGTAGTCTGCATAGAAGCTTCTAACATTTTTTGTGAATATTTTGCCAAATTGTTGCTGGTTTACATTAACTGCATGTTAAAAAATGACATACATGAATATTGTGCATCGATCGAATTAAGTTGATTTTATTTTAACAATTTTTCGACAAAGTAACGAAGTAATATACGAAGAGATACCAAGAGCCAAAAGAGTATCGTCAGCTATTTAAAGCAAAAAAGCATACATCATTTTTAAAAAGTCAGTACATTTTTCTTTAACCCAAGGACAAAAAAGTTTTTGAAAATCGGCCCAGTGGCGGGGACAAAAATGCCAAATACTATAAAAATAAAAATGGTTCAAACTTTGTTTTTTTGTCGATTCAGAGGATCCTGATTATTTCTGAGAATATTTTCAGACGTTAAGAATTGAGGGGATTTTTTTTGATATTAGTATATTAATACACTTACACAAAGCATTAGGCGTACAATGAGACGTGCTACTCTTTTCCATTCAAATCCAAGGCAATAATCTCAGGATCTCCCAATACTTAAAACTTTGTACTTATATTGTAATATTAAGAGGTATCAAATCAGGTAGTAATCATTAAAAAGAAAAGCTTTTCAAGGTCAGTATCGCTTTACGATATATATATTTTTTTTAATTTACGATATTGTAGACTTAAATTGTTCTTTGCAATACTATATAAAGCTGTTACGCCTGTAGAATAACTATTCTTACCGGTAGAGTTTACCACAATGTGGACAAGAATACAGAGAATCAGGACGTTCCTTCCTGTAATCCCCCGCAGCTTCTGGAAATTCACGCTCAAGTTGCTTACGCAAAGATTTCGGGATGATGATCTCGTCGAACTCTATGAATTCTGTAATTATAGTGTATACGGTAAGGAGAGACACAAGTAATAAAAACAAAAACCACCTGTTACGACACACAGTTACACCTGGACGACACAGCTGCCTACACCCTGAAAAAAAATACCCGTAACTCTGCTCAGGACAGCTCTTCTTTTTCAAGAACAAAAAAGACAAAAGACAAGCCGCCGTAGCATGAAACTCAAAAATCAAAAATAAAATAAAAGGTAATAAAAGGTAGTAACACCAAAAATTGAAAATAGAATCCCAGCTCCTCTTTAAAGATTGTTATAACCACTATAGTGACACAAAAACGCCATAGAATTTCAACATTTATTTGTTATATTTGGTCCGTTAATAAAATATATGATATGACAGTTCAACAACAAAATTCGAAAGCTCAATTGATATCCTTAGATATAAACATATGAGTGATTGACGTAGTGTATAATATATAATAACCTAATTTCTGTATAAATGTATATAATATAAACTATGTAATTGTATATATACAAACAATAAACCATAAGCAAAACGTATGTACTAGTATATAGCACACTAGGTACATGGAAGTGATAAGGCACAATTTTTGGACACATTAAAGTAAAATTATGTATTGTATATATCGTCGGTTGTCGAGAAAAGTGACACAACTCAAAAATCACGTTTTTTGATATATGTATATGCATGAATGATCGGCGAAAAGTGTATATTTTCATCACACAAACCGTCACTACTGTAGTTTGAAAAACGGCCGGTAGATAGCAGAAGTGTCACTTTTCTTTTCAGTAACTATTCACCTGCGCGTCTCAAGAAAAGTGTCATAACCTCAGTTGTGCCCAGCACGTCTCGCAATGTGGTACATAGTGCGTTATCAAGAAAAATGACACATTTTGACTTCGGCTATGTGATCTGAACTCTGTTATCAAGAAAAGTGACACATTTTGTTTTATGACGATTTTGATAATAAGGTAGGTAGCAATCTTAGTTGAGTCTTATCGTGTATGTCTTTAGTCTTTAGTTATGTCGTCCTTTCTGATAAATAGTGATTATTTTTTGACAAGACTTTATCGGCTTCATTCTAATTTTGAGTTATGACGGTGTTCTTCATAAATTTACTCTGATTAAATCATACCTCGAAAAATATGTCACCTTTTTCAACACTTTAATATGCTATTTTAAATAAACATGATGATTTTGTTTTAGGTTAACTATGTACCATTTAACAATGTTTTTGACGTTCTGAGAATCTTATTAGATTTCTTCCAGAAAGTGACGGATTTGAATACCAAAGCTCCACTAACTCAACGAACAAGGCTGTCTGCAGAAAAAGTGATGTAGAAAATGTGGGAATATATGGACAATCATCAGAAGATGTCTATTTACTTCAACCTGTAGATCCTCTTATGGAGAATCTAAACGAATAATATTTTGGTGAAATATTAATGTAACTATGGCAACCTGCCATATGCTGCAATATTTTTATATACGGTTGCTATAGTTCCAGTGAGATATTTTACGAAAGTATTGCCCGTTTAGAGGCTCCATTACAAAGACAAACTTTTCCATGATTGAATTGATTTCTACAAATGTTTGAAAAAATGGAAGCTACTTGAACTACTATTGATTCTTTTTTCTCTTTGAGGATCTGGCAAAGAACTCACAGCACCTAATTCACCACCTCCAATGGATCTACCTTGTGAGGGAAAAAATGCCTTATTCCCAAATATTTCAAATCGCTCTCCTGAAAATTCAAGAATTTTGATTTGTGTCAATTTTCTCGACAACCGACGATATGTATAAACACAACAAGCAATAAGCATAACTTATGTAGTTGGTACATGGACGTGAATGCACACTTTTTAGACATTAAGGGGTAACGACCTAAGGAAAGTAATTTTGTATTTTTCTGTGGATCAAATTGTAACAAAAATAATGTTTAAATAACAAAGGAGAAAATTACCATTAGAAAATATTCAAAAATAGCGGCACTGTCGCGTTTTTCGCGAAACGCAATTTTTCAAAACGTCACACACCATATAACTCTCTTAAATAGTTTTTTCATTGGAATTTTTTATAACATCATTTTGATGAGAAGTACATAAAGGATTTTTGATAAGTTCAATCATTATCTATTGCGAAATTACCTTTTTTCCCTAAGTATCTCTTTAGCTTTAGACGTGATTAATAAGATTTTACCTTTTTTCGCAGAGTGTGTGTCTTGTGGAAATGGCTGTGGTGCCGACATTTTTGAATAGTTATCACCACTTATTACATTTTCTTCCACAGAAATAAAACATGACAAGGATCACTCATATAGGCCGTTACAGTGGTGTGACCTCTTCAATTCAGACACAGATTACAAACATTTGCTTTCCGACTCTGTGACCAATCATATGCGGTGCCACCTCATCCTTGTTTGGAATCATCGGTACGGTATAGTTCTTAAGGAAACAGAAGGCGGATAGCAAACATGGAAGACAACATAGACAGCAGATACATGCTTTTTTATACTTAAGCCACCAGGAAGGACTAAGAAAGTGTGGGATTGTATCCTAGACGTAGAGATGTGCCAATTTTGGCAAAATAGCTGGCGTGTTCACATTCTTGCACGTAAAGCTAACACTATATTGATTCAGGGGATATCCTATATTACGGAGATAATGAAATTCAAAGTGTTGCAACTTTTAAAAGGGATATCTCACAGGTTAAAAATTGTTTACTCTTCAGGAATTGGAAAGACATATTTTGGCACACCCTGTAGTTAATGTGTTGATCAAAACAAATCTTGGAAAATCCACAGCAAAACGACTTCTTTCCTCCTCAAAATGCATCAAAATCGTTATTTCCAACACCTTATGCTATTTGTATCTCAAACAAACTTCCGCCTTCACATGCCTGTCCAGATGTGTTTTCTGCTTAAACCTTCTATGACACAAATTACACTCATAGTTCCGAGTACTGTGGATACATTCGTTACCTATATGCCTCTTCAAATGGCTTCTTCTCTTATATGATCTCTTACACATGTGGCATACGAACCTCCCATCTGGAGATATGAAAAACCCTTTGTCGTCGATGTAGTAAACTGAAAGAAGGGGAACATTAGTATTGATAATATTTACTTGTGATGTCAATCGTGACAGCCGATAGCCATATCTTAGCTATTTACACATCGAGTTTTTTTTTATT